AATTTTATCTTTGAAAACATTTCCTTGTGTTTAGGTAGGTATATCTGTCGATAACAGACTGAATATGGCACTTTTTACTCATTCAAGTTAGCATTTAATTCATAAATAATGTCATTTAAATATCGTGGGAAAGCAGAATATATTCGAAATCACGAATGAGCAAAATTCTCACCTTCCGCACGTGCAAACTTTGAGCGGACGTTGCGTGCGCATACAATATTTAATCACCGTAAATTTTCGCATAGTGGTATTTAATATATAGTTTAATAAGTATGCAAAGTTTCAGAAGATTTCAAAAAGAACTTTAATCATAACGGGACTCCAAAGTTGATAAAAATCGTGAAAATAACAATTTTCAGTGATTTTAGCAATTTTAAATCAATTTGGGCGTGTCCCCACGTGTGCAACTTTTCGATTTTCAACTTTAAAACTAGCCTATTACACAATTTAGACCTTTAGGAAGCAAAATTGAGCTCCACAACCCAAGAGATGGCCCGACACCAGAGAATACTAATTCACAACTTTTGTGTTTAAACAAAATTATTCTTCAAAAAAGCACTAACTTCAATAGCAAATATCTTTATGAAGGAGCAAGGTAGGAAAATTTTCCGGTAGATTTTCAGAATGCTTGAACAATTATCTAAGGTAAAAATGTCCTCAGATTTTGAATAAAATTATTTTTTAATGGTGAAAAATCGATTTGAAAAGTTGTTATTTTGTCAAAAATAAAGTTCTAAAAACACTTAAATTGATGACTTCATCAAGTGATGATGATGACGTTAAATTATTTTTCGATATAATGTAAACTAAAGTATAAACAATTATCTTTAAAACCTGTGGTTCGAAATGACTGTATCTTTTATACTTTTGAATCTACGGACACTTAAATGTAGGCTACAATTGACTGCCAAAAGCGTCTATACATATCACAATGCTGGCAAGCATGACCGTGCCTCTTATATTCACAATACTATTTAACCCCTTTACTATTTACCCCCTTTACTATTTACCCCCTTGACTTTTATACCCCCTTTACTATTATACCCCTTTATTGTTTTTCAGGCATTAAGACTCATCGAAAGTAGTTCAGCAGGTATATTTATGTTCAAAACATTCTAATTTAATGTTAAATATGACAGGAATAAGAAATAGTTATGTAAAGGTTTTAAAGAAATTTGCGCAAAATACGCTCCAGCATGTTATACGAAATTCGGTAAAAAACCCAAAATCGCCATATTCAGGTGCCTTAAAAACCATGTTAAAATTGTGTTAGAGATCTGAAAATTTGCAGGGCGTCTAGACGTTGACCAAATCGACTGCAAAAAAAGTTTCAAGTTTCAGGAGCATCGGGAAATGGGTTTTCTAGAACCCCTGTTTTACGACAGATTGTCGGGACATATCACAGTGCTGGCAAGCACGACCGTTGCATTTATTGTGGGTATACTATGTACCCCATTTACTATTATACCCCTTCACTATTATACCCCCTTTGGTACACGTTAGAAGCCTCTTTCGTGCACGCGAAGCGTGCACTCCGGCCGGAGGCGGCGGCCGAAGGCCGCCGCCTCCGGCAGGAGTTTTCCAGGCATTAAGACTCATCGGAAGTCGTTCAGCAGATTTATTTTTAGTTCAAAACATTCTAATTTGATGTCAAAGATGACAGGAATAAAAAATAGTTATGTTGAGATTTTTAAGAAATTTGCATAAAATACTCGCCAGCACTGTTATACGAAATTCGGTAAAAACCCCAAAATCGCCATATTCAGGTGCCTTAAAAACCACGTTAAAATTGAGTTAGAGATCTGAAATTTTTCAGGGCGTCTAGACGTTGACCAAATCGACTGCAAAAAAAGTTTCAGGTTTCAGGAGCATCGGGAAGTGGGTTTTCTAGAACCCCTGTTTTACGACAGATTGTCGTGATATCTATATACATCACCTTAATAACACCAGAATGTGTGTGTGTCTGTGTGTCTGTCTGTCTGTCTGTCTGTCTGTCCGTGTGTAATTTCCGGTCGGTTATACAAAAAAAACGGTAAGAGTTACGGGACTGATTTTTTCGGTATAGTGTCGACAAAACTCTGATGAAGCCCATAGGAAATTTTTTTTTAAATCGGCCGGTGGTAAGTGGTTTAATTGATGGTTTTGTACCACAAAATATGTTACATAAAATGTTGACACACGCTGTAACCCCTTTTGAGCGCGCGCGAAGCGCGCGCGGCCGGCCGGCCGCAAAAGGGGCACACCATCTAGGGAATTGTACTATTTAGCGGGACCCAGAATATGGCTCCCTATTATGTGATTTGACCATATTTGGATGTAATTGCTTCAAATGAAGAGAGATGACGCGCGCGTGTTATCGAGACATTTTATTGCATTACTGTTAACAAAAATCTATCTATTTACAAATTTATCGTAAACAATTTCAATAATAATGTTTTTATTTCTTGTTAACACTTTAATGTTAGAAAAATGAAAAGAAATAGTGTTAATTTTTTGCAAAAATTGTGTAATTTGTTTCAATTTGTCAATAATTGATCATCAAGCCGCGCACTTTTAAAATATGTCCAACATATCTCCGCAAGCAGTTAAGTCTGCATCCTATATAAGCTAAAATGCTCTTTTCAGTTCCTTTTGCCATTTTTGATTGTTCAACTGCAGAGTGAAAATAATATGTGGACTTTTATTATATTTTTGCTTCGTTTTTTGGATACCCACAGTAGTTTATATCTTTGAGTGATTAAATATCTCAGTCTGATGTTTTTGTTCGCCATGCAGCACCATGCCTTTGTTTTCGAAACCTAACATTTGCATTTATAAAGCTTCAAATATAAGTATTTTGGTTTATTTTCCAACTATTACATAATTGCTCAATTAGCTGATGAGATTCTAAAAATTGTATAGTTCAACTGAGCTTAAAGTAATAGTTTAAATCATTGTGACATTCGATATTGCGTTCAAATATTTCAGTAAGTAATTTTATTTCTAATACCTTTGACGACTCTTTTAATCCAGTTTTTATAACGTTGACCTCGTTATACTTGACAAGAGTTGCACTAACAAAGTATTCGTTGTTGAATGAAGATATATAATATACAGGACCGAAGGTGTTTTGATAATTTTAATAACTGAAAATATAGTTCAATTATTTTCCAATATCGGACCATATTCAATAAGTATTTATTTCAACTTTCGTGTTGACTGTCAGAACATAATATAATATAGTATACTAAATTGTAAATACTAATTTTGTACCTCTTTCTAGTATAACTACAAGTACACGAAAAGCTCAAACTAGTTACCTAATTTAGTATCTTTCCTTATGCGTGTGTCAATATCCATTTAATAAGCATTTAATTTTAAGTGCTAGCTTTATACTTTGGATACTTTGGAGAGATTCGTAGATTCCTCTACTGGGTCATCGAATAGTTCGACCGCCCTTGCAGCATCGCTGCTGCCTTATTCAAACTCCAGTCCAGCAAAGAATTTCCGTTAGGGCAGCGTAAATTGTAAATGCTGACAGATGGGTTATCTGAAAACGGTTTAAGAAATGCTGATAGCTTTGCTTTGAACAGCAGTGGCGGGTCTTCAATGAGGTAAAGATCTGATGTGTTCCACTAACCTGGCCCCATTACTGCATATGAACAATCATACAATGACTGTTGCCTTTGAGTACTGCGCTTGCTGAGACTTGGAATGGTGGCCTTGATTACTTGTCTTGATGGAGTGGAAAAGTGGACCCCAGGTCATTTGGGCAGCGTTGGTGCAAGATTTTCCACATGTGGATGATAATATAACGCTCTCTCCTCCTTTGCATTGACATTAAATTTAGTGCTTTGAGCCGCTGCTAATATTCAAAATGTTGAACAACCCAAATCCTTGAGTTGAAAGCACGCTGTACTCCTTCAATCTGTTAGATGTCTGCGATTTTACTGGTATTCCACAGAGGGCAGCAGTACTCGAAATGACTTCGGACAAGTGACTTGTAAAGTGTCAACATTGTGATTCTATTTCTGCATTTGAACGCACTGAGCACCCAGGCTGCAACTTTTCTAGCTCGGGATGCCATAGAACTGACATGATGTGACCACGAAACTATAACTCCAAAATCCTTAACTTAGTCTGTACTCTGTAGGATAGAGCACATTACCACCTGACACCTTGTATGTTTGTGTTTGAAATACAAAAGGTAGCAGATACAGACTCTCAGGATTCCCCGGTGAACTAGGAGCTCAAACTTATCCTCGTTTATAGGGGTCGTTCACATATTACGTAATCATTTTTTGGAACATTTTTAACCCCCCCCCCCCCCCCCCCGTAATCAGTTTTACACATAGCTATTGTGTCAAAATGTTAATTACACTAGCGTAATCATTCGGAAACCCCCCTCCTCCCCTCTCAGCTGATTGCGTAATATGTGAACGACCCCTTATTACGTTTGGCACAAGCAGTGACAGGGTCGATAGAACGATAACTTATATTGCTTCACCGAACAACTTTATTCCGGTCCGTTATCTCAGCTTCTGAATGGTTTTATACGCAACAAAAAAAACCCACATTAATAGTTTTATAAACTATTCGATCATTCCGACAAATTTAAGAGTTCAAATTCGAATGCCTTTTAATTCGGCTGATTAAGTAAGATAATTTGGTTATAAGGCTAAACCTCCTAATTAGATTTGCTGGCCCAAGATAATTTGGTGACATGCATCAAGTAGATCACACCCTAATGTTTATTTAGATTTCTAGGATGCGTGTTATAGATTGTAAGTGTAGCAGTCCATCAAAAAATGTGGATGTGTAATCGAATTTACTTGGGCTGAGTTTTAACAGTCTATCTTTGTACGAATTTGGAGTCTGGAATCTGGATGTATGAATCATGTTATTTCAAGAAGTGACGGTGCAGTCATTTTGGTTTGGATTATTCATTGGTTTAATCTAGCTTCTATATTTTCCACGATTTTGTAAATAAAAGGTGTTTTTAAAAGCGCCAACTCCCCGATCAATTATAAGATGAATTCTTTGCACGAAGACACATTACAAAATTCTTCTCACAAATAATTTTTTCCTGTAGCCGTAAGACTGAGTTCAGGATGACTGTTGGAATGTAGCTACATCTCTTCTCACCCGACTTCTGCCAGAGGTTCCGTCTTAAAGATTCGTAAGCAGATACTTAGTACGAACTCAAATGTTAACCTACCGTTTCACAAGGTAGAATTATGCTAAATTTTAGGACGTCCTTTACTATTTCTACCCTCTTAATACCAATAACAAAAAAAATGCGCTCGCTGGTGTTATAATACGCTGCGGTCATATACTCATTTTTCAGTATTCGTGTTGATTAACTTGGGAGGGGGGGCTCATGTTTTGTGTCCGTTTTTGTCCGTTTGGTACTCTATATTTTTTCCTTAACGGACAAAAAGTAGGGCGGACAAAAGTAAGGCGGACAAAAACGGACATAAACGGACATAAACGGACAAAAAACGTTATGAAAATAAAATTTAGACGCTTCCTCCTCCTCCTACTACTCCTCCTCCTCAGTCCTCCTCCTCCTCAGTCCTCCTCCTCCTCAGTCCTCTTCCTCCTCCTCCTCCTCCTCAGTCTTCCTCCTCCTCAGTCCTCCTCAGTCCTCCTCAGTCCTTCTCCTCCTCCTCCTCCTCCTCCGCAGTCCTCCTCCTCCTCCTCCTCAGTCGTCCTCCTCCTCCTCCTCCTCAGTCTTCCTCCTCCTCAGTCCTCCTCAGTCCTCCTCAGTCCTTCTGCTCCTCCTCCTCCTCAGTCCTCCTCCTCCTCCTCCTCAGTCGTCCTCCTCGTCCTCCTCCTCAGTCCTCCTCCTCCTCCTCCTCAGTCCTCCTCAATCCTCCTCAGTCCTCCTCCTCCTCCTCCTCAGTCCTCCTCAGTCCTCCTCAGTCCTCCTCGGTCCTCCTCCTCCTTCTCAGTCCTCCTTCTTAGTCCTCCTCCTCCTCAGTCCTCCTCCTCAGTCCTCCTCAGTCCTCCTCCTCTTCAGTCCTCCTCAGTCCTCCTCCTCCTCAGTCCTCCTCATCCTCAGTCCTCCTCCTCCTCCTCCTCCTCAGTCTTCCTCCTCCTCAGTCCTCAGTCCTCCTCAGTCCTCCTCAGTTTTCTTCCTCCTCAGTCTTCCTCCTCCTCAGTCCTCCTCCTCCTCAGTCCTCCTCCTCTTCAGTCCTCCTCATCAGTCCTCCTCCTCCTCCTCCTCAGTCATCCTTTTCCTCCTCAGTCCTTGTCAGTCCTCCTCCTCCTCCTCCTCCTCCTCCTCCTCCTCCTCCTCCTCCTCCTCCTCCTCCTCCTCCTCCTCCTCCTCTTCTCTTCCTCCTCCTCATCCTCTCTTCCTCCTCCTCCTCCTCTCTTCCTCCTCCTCATCCTCTCTTCCTCCTCCTCCTCATCAGTCCTCATCCTCCTCCTCCTCAGTCCTCCTCAGTCCTCCTCCTCCTCCTCAGTCCTCCTCTTGCTCCTCAGTCCTGACCTCCTCAGTCCTCCTCCTCTTCCTCAGTCCTCCTCAGTCCTCCTCAGTCCTCCTCCTCCTCATACTCATCAGTCCTTATCCTCCTCAGTCTTCCTCCTCCTACTCAGTCTTCCTCCTCCTCAATCCTCCTCAGTCCTCCTCCTCCTCCTCCTCCTCCTCCACCTCCTCCTTCTCAGTCCTTCTCCTTCTCAGTCCTCCTCCTCCTCAGTCTTCCTCCTCCTCAGTCATCCTCCTCCTCAGTCCTCATCAGTCCTCCTCCTTTCCCTCAGTCCTCCCCCTATTATGAAAATAAAATTTAGATGCTTCCTCCTCCTCAGTCCTCCTCCTTCTCAGTCCTCCTCCTCCTCCTCAGTTCTCCTCCTCCTCAGTCCTCCTCAGTCTTTCTCCTCCTCAGTCTTCCTCCTCCTCAGTCTCCCTCCTCCTCAGTCCTCCTCAGTCCTCCTCCTCTTCAGTCCTCCTCAGTCCTCCTCCTCCTCAGTCCACCTCCTCCTCAGTCTTCCTCCTCCTCCTCCTCAGTCTTCCTCCTCCTCAGTCTTCCTCCTCCTCAGTCCTCAGTCCTCCTCAGTTTTCCTCCTCCTCAGTCTTCCTCCTCCTCAGTCCTCCTCCTCCTCAGTCCTCCTCCTCTTCAGTCCTCCTCCTCAGTCCTCCTCCTCCTCCTCCTCCTCAGTCATCCTTTTCCTCCTCAGTCCTCAGTCCTCCTCAGTCCTCCTCAGTTTTCCTCCTCCTCCTCCTCCTTCTCCTCCTCCTCCTCCTCCTCCTCCTCCTCCTCCTCCTCCTCTCTTCCTCCTCCTCATCCTCTCTTCCTCCTCCTCCTCATCAGTACTCCTCCTCCTCATCCTCGGTCCTCCTCAGTCCTCCTCCTCCTCCTCAGTCCTCCTCTTGCTCCTCAGTCCTGACCTCCTCAGTCCTCCTCCTCTTCCTCAGTCCTCCTCCTCTTCCTCAGTCCTCCTCAGTCCTCCTCAGTCCTCCTCCTCCTCCTTCTCCTCATCCTCATCAGTCTTCATCCTCCTCAGTCTTCATCCTCCTCCTCAGTCTTCCTCCTCCTCAATCCTCCTCAGTCCTCCTCCTCCTCCTCCTCCTCCTCCACCTCCTCCTCCTCAGTCCTCCTCCTTCTCAGTCCTCCTCCTCCTCAGTCTTCCTCCTCCTCAGTCATCCTCCTCCTCAGTCCTCCTCAGTCCTCCTCCTCCTCAGTCCTCCTCCTTTCCCTCAGTCCTCCCCCTATTATGAAAATAAAATTTAGATGCTTCCTCCTCCTCAGTCCTCCTCCTTCTCAGTCCTCCTCCTCCTCCTCCTCAGTTCTCCTCCTCCTCAGTCCTCCTTGCAGTCTTCCTCCTCCTCAGTCTTCCTCCTCCTCAGTCTCCTCCTCTCAGTCCTCCTCAGTCCTCCTCCTCCTCCTCCTCCTCCTCCTCCTCTTCCTCCTCAGTCCTCCTCCTCCTCCTCCTCCTCCTCCTCCTCCTCCTCCTCCTCCTCCTCAGTCCTCCTCCTCCTCCTCCTCCTCCTCCTCCTCCTCCTCCTCCTCCTCCTCCTCCTCCTCAGTCCTCCTCCTCCTCAAGAACGATATTTTTCATAAATAAAGTGATTCTCATCCCTTTTTATGTTATTAAAAATGTATAGACTATTCTTTGTACCTAATTGAGGATTGAAAGTTTGAGAAAGGACCATGGTCATCAACCGTGCTACCCATTTCTGCAGATAGCCTGTTACAAATTGTGGAGACAATTTAAATCAAAAGTTTGGTACCCTTATATTTTCTGAAAACGGACAAAATCGAACGTACAAAAACAGACAAAAACAAAATGAGCCCCCCCCCCCCCCTTAACTTACAAATTATTTTGTAGTTCACATTTTTAAGTTAGCCGAATCTGCCTTGAATTGTTTGTGTCATAGCATTTTGCAACTACAATAATTTGCTTTTTCAGACCGGACGTAAAGAGACCTCGAGCATTTCGTCTCTCGCGACGAAAAGACTTGATGAGCATATCACTAACAGATATTGTAAGTGCTCAATATTCCCATCGAAATCTGATGTGGCTTTGTTTATAAATAATTCAAAGCATAGGTCATATTGAATTATCCTTGCAGACTTTATATTTTTACATCGATATTAAGTCTTAAAATCTAATATTAAGATTAAATTATAATGTTATTCTTTATCTTGCTCAGGAGATACCAAAGAACCCCGACTCCTAAACCCAAAGATTTTATCGAGAAAACCATTTGTTGACCTAGCTTCTACGTATCTTCATTTCCGGCCAGCAGCTCTTGTCCTAGATGCACCTATCTTGATATGCAACGGCAACTTGATACTGATAGACTTTTCAATCTTTATCAAAGCCAAAGCACGATGTTCTACAGCTCCATGTCCATTGACCAGACGGCAAACCTATATCAATATGTGACTTTCGGACAGCAAATAAAATCTCGCCGACACCTTTATCAATACCAGTACCACCTCCCTGTCCCTAAGAACATGAGTATGTAAGATTGGAAACATACGAAAGAACCTATTTAAACTTATGCTTCTTTTGAAAATGTATGTAGTGTATACAGAAAACGAGAATAATAAATCTTGACATCAAACAAGCAGCTTTCTTTTCCAGCCCATCAGCACAATAAACGATGCAGTTCACCTTGTTGAACAGAGATCGCGGTAAACAAAAGCCCTCTAGTATCACAGACCTTCAAGGGTTGCAGTAGGAAAAACAGATAAAAAGATCACGAGCATGAAGGAGGCCACCCTACTAGTCCAAGTCTCGAACCAAGATCAGGGCACTATTTGGACATAGCTCGTTACAAGGCTAGAATTGACTACGAGAAGAGTGCCACATGCCCTGCAATCTGCATGTGATGAAGCCTCGAAGAAATCGTAAGGCAATGGTTGTCGTACACAGCTACCATCCGTGCCGGATACGAAGCAGACTCTTTGGTAGAGCAGATGTAGTCTCAGACACGATGTCATCTAATCCAGAGAAGGTCCTAGCGTACGCAACCTGCGACTCTAACCTCTGACTCGCCACATCACAACAGCCCAAAGCACTTTGCAGTAGATGGCAGTCATCATTGGCAGCTAAATATAATATCCGATAGGAATCTGGATATATTCGCAACTGAAATATTATGCATCTTGCCGATATAATGCCATTTATGGAATGACCCAGAAAAAAAGATCTCATAGCTTTGGGATCCCAAAAACTGTTGATGTGAGCGCTCTAAATTATTATTGGAAACTTCATCTTCCACGATTCAGTACGGAAAGCTTATGGATGCCGTGAAAGCAACCAATCATAAGTTGCTTAAGCCCATCCCAAGAAGACAACGTAACAACCCCTCCCAAGATCCTAGGGTATCGGAGAGGAGGAGAACTCTGTTTCAGGCCAAAGACGCATATCATGAGAATCCTTCAGAGGAGAGTAGAGAGGTAGTTAAGGAGTGTAAGGATGCACTTGCAGTGAGCTACAAAGAGGTTGAGGAGGAGACTCTTGTTTCTCGGATCAGGCGGGCTGAGGATGCTGCTGACAGGTGCAAGAATAAGGAAAGTTGGGACCTTATTAATGACATAAATGGCAGGAAAAGCAAGCCATGCAGCCTGGTTGATGGAGGTAGTGCAGAGGGGAGATTGAAGAGCTGGAAAGACCACTTCACTAAGCTCCTGGGTCAACCACCATCTGTACCTGACCAGGAAATAGTTATCCAAACCATCCACCCCCAGCAGGATTATATAGAGACTGGTCTGTTTTGCAGGGAGGAGTTAGCGGAGGCGAGGAAGCAGATCAAGGAGGGTAAGGCCTATGGTGATGATGGCATAGCTCCAGAGATTCTCAAAAGAGTGGACATGGACGACCTGATTCTAGAGTTCTGTAACAGCGCTCTGGTTGATGGAAAAATCCCTGATCAATGGCGGCAACTCAACATCGTGCCTGTGCCAAAGAAAGGAAATCTAACTAAAGTGGATAACTACAGAGGAATCGCTCTTACGTCCATTGTTAGTAAGACCCTGAATCGTATGATCCTTAACAGAATCAAACCAGCGATGGAGAAAATCCTGAGGATCAACCAAAACGGATTTCGGGAGGGACGCAGTACCACCAGCCACATTCTGTGTCTAAGGAGGATCTTGGAGGGGGCTAGAGACAAAAACCTGACCGCCCTTCTCTTGTTCATCGATTTTAAGAAGGCCTTTGATAGCATTCATAGGGGTATATTGATGAAGATACTCCTGGCATATGGGATACCAGAGCCCATTGTTAGGCTGATAGATGCTATGTACAAGGACACCATGGCACGAGTCATCACGGAGGATGGTCTGACTGAAGCTTTCCTTATACTTGCTGGAGTTATGCAGGGAGATACACTGGCGCCCTACCTCTTCGTGATTGTCATTGACTATGTGATGACAACAGCACTTAGAGGCAAAGATCTGGGCTTCACTGTCAACCCCAGAAGAAGCAGGAGATACCCAGCAGTTAAGATGACAGATGTCGACTTTGCTGACGATCTTGCACTGACAACAGACACCGCAGAGCAAGCGCAAGATCTTCTCCTCAGTGTGGAGCTGGCTGCTAACTCCGTTGGACTTCACCTCAACGAGAGTAAGACGAAGTACATCAGAGTCAATCTCTCTGAGTCTGACTCTACCGTCATTAAAGCAGCAAGTGGGCAGGAGATAGAGCAAGTAGATGACTTTGTCTACCTTGGAAGCAGAATAATGAGTGCGGAGAAGGACTTTGATGTTAGGAAAGCAAAGGCATGGGGGGCCTGTCATCAGTTAAAGACAACCTGGAAGTCTGGAATGCGCAGGGACTTAAAGATCCGTGTCTTTCGAGCAACGGTTGAGCCCATACTCCTGTACGGCTCTGAAGCTTGGACGATAAGCCAATCCATGACTAAGCGGATCAATGGATGCTACACTAGAATGCTCCGGATGGCCTTGAACATACGGTGGCCACAAATCATCAACAACAGTGATTTATACGGCAACATCCCCAAGCCATCAGCGATGATAGCCTCCAGAAGAATGAGACTGGCTGGACATGTAGCCAGGCATGACGACCTTCTGGCAAACCAACTTCTGTTCTGGGACCCTCAGCATGGATACAGGAGACCGGGGAGGCCCCACCTTACGTTTCTGGACATGCTAAAGAAGGACACCAGCCTTTCCTGTGTTGAAGAGATAAGATCTGTTATGCTGGACCGCGACGTGTGGCGAGGAATTGTAGTTGCTCGGACCAAGAAGCCGACTTAAGTCAGTAAGTCAGTCAGTCATCTTCTACGAAAGTTCATCTTCTACGAAAGTTCATTTTCTATGAAAGTTCATCTTCTACGAAAGTTCGTCTTCTACGAAAGTTCATCTTCTACGAAAGTTCATCTTCTACGAAAGTTCATCTTCTACGGAAGTTCATCTTCTACGAACTACTACAACTCTACAGTCTACAAGTACAACTATACATCCCTGCATCTCTACAACTCGGCAATTCTTCTGTCTAAAACTTTTAGTAGTAGAAGCTTTGGTATCGAAGGCAATAATCTGATGATTTTTCTAGAGCATTTATTCCGCGTATCAATAATTACCATCACGTGAAGACAGGGGCTCATGTGGTTCATTACATTGATCATATTAGCAAGGATGTGATATACAATGCGCTAATCACACTGTATATCGGATTACACTGTATCTCGATTGCGGATATAAAGGTGTCAAATTGTCAATATACAGTTAATGTCAATATACAGCTTGATTACCTGTTTGCGACCGTAGCAATATTACACATTGCACAAGTTTAATTTGAAAGAAACTAGCTTGTCGACAAAAATCGTCTCTTCGCACAACAAGCAAACTTTGGTTAACCTTGGCATCCTCAGCAATCAGTCAAATGGATTGATTCAAATCATTTAAATTGGCATATGATCGGACAAACTTATTCAAACTTTGTTACAAATTAATGACGCTACCTTAAAAATTGTACACAGCTGCAGAGTTGGACTTTCCGGTCCATTTGTTATTATGTTCCGCAGAACAATATTTGATGAAAGTTGATTATCTCAAGATCTGATTGATAGATTTTCTTTGAACTTTCCAGATAGTTACATATAAATATAACTTGCACAGATTTTCCGTCTTATAGCCATATATGGCTATAAGACGGATAATCTGTGCAAGTTTGGACGAACTTCTATGTGCCAAATTTAAGATATCACTTCAAACACAAGAAAATATCTCCAAACTGTCGGTTCATAGAAATTCGCCCAAACTCGCACAGATTATTTGTCTTATATATAACGATCTGGAAAGTTTAAAGAAAATCTATCAGTCAGATCTTGAGATACATGCCAAATATTGTACCGATTTGGAGATATTTTCTTGTGTTTGAAGTGATATCTCCAATTAGAAACTCGCCCAAACTTGCACAGATTATTTGTCTTATAACCATATAATTATTTGGAAAGTTTAAAGAAAATATATCTGTCAGATCTTCAGATATATGCCTCGGTACCACTGATGCAAACCACCAATTTGGAGATATTTTCTTGTGTTTAAGAAGATATCTCAAATTTTGCACATTGAAATTCGCCCAAACTTTCATAAATAATTTTAATTGTAATTATTTAACTATCTGAAAAGTTTAAAAAGATTTTGTTGGTCAGTTCTCAAGAAAACAAAAAATCAAGAATATATTTTAAATTATTTACTAAAACACTTGATTTTCGAACTTTTTATTTGATACAGATTTGTCGAAAGTCCTTTTGACAATGCAGTAAAAACTTTACATTCACCGCCGGTGATATTAATATTGCACATGTTTCACGTTACATGAAGAACATATTCGTTCATTTAGATGCATCTTTGATGATGATTAAAAACTTTACATATACCGCCGGCGCGAAACGTTTAGCGTCAAGGTAACTCCACAATTTTGTTGCGCAATAAGTCACGTGACTAGCGCGGCGTCAGTCATGACTGACGCCGCGCTAATGACGACGTATAATGTGTAGCCTCTCTCGCCGGCCGGCCGGCCGGCGTGCACGCTTCGCGTGCACGAGAGGTATACAACGTGTAGCAAATAAAATGGCTTGAGAAGAACGGCAAGAGTTACGGGGCTAGCTCTCTCTCTCTCTCTGCATAATATTATTTAGCGTATATATTACATGGCGTATATATTACATGGTCATATAATACTATAAACTTATTAGGGGAGGGAGTGCTCAAACGGTCTGTTTGGACTGTAGAGAGAGTTCATACTTTCATAC